ACTTTGCATGTATAATGAGTATCAAATTGCTTGCCTTACCAATGGGTGGGGTAGGGACTGGAAAGAGGGAGATAATTTGGAATTCAAAAATTTTAAATCAATGTTAAGGGAAAAAAAAGATAATCATTTACTATCATAAGACCCACACCAAAGGTCAATGTTATGAAACAATAATGAAACTCAAACTTACTTGTGGAAACTCACACCATTATTATCTAGTGGTAAGACTCAAACAGCTATCAAAATAATATAAAACCACAAGTCAGACCATGTCACTCAATAAACTCCAGCACTTCCCTATTACCTACGGGATCAAATATAAACTCCTATATTGGTAGTTAAAGCCCTTCATAACCTGACCCTAACCTAGTTTTCCAGATTTATTTACATATTACTTTCCTTCGCACATTGTCAGTCCAGCCAAATTGGTTTTCTTACTGTTCCTCATATATGGCACTCCATTAACGGTCTCCATGCTTTTGCCCTAACTGCTCCCCAAGCCTGGAATATGCCTTCAGAATCCATAATTTCCCTCAAGGCTCAGCACAAAAGCCACCTTGTACATTTTCCTAACACCCCTAGCTACTAGTGCCTTCCCTTCAAATTATCTTGTATCTCTCACACAAATACCTTTTGTATGTCTTGACTTCCTCATTTAGAATGTAAGTTCCTCGAGCGCAGAAACTGTTTCACTTTTATCTTTGGATCCCTAGCACATAACACAGTGACTGGCACATGGTAGGTGCCTAACAAATATCTATTGATTATACGATTAACGGTTTTTAATGAAGATAGACTTTTGCTTTAAACTAAACAATGGATTATTCTTTACTCTAGGAGGATAAACAGGTCCTTAATTAACTCACGGGCTAACTGTTCTTGCCTATTAGGAATATAGCTATTAATTTGGGATTTTTAGTCAAGACATATGTTAATGGTTCTCTAGTAAGATCCCCTGATGGAAAATTAAGGAAGAGGGTTAGGGAAGCTTCTGTTGGATCAGTCGGCAACCTTCTTTCACTAACTGGAGAAGGGAACATTAGCTAAAATCACAGCTTCAGCTCTATTGGCATTTGTGTTAAGCCAATACTATTTCTCTCACTTCAAAATAATTTTCTATCTCATGAAAGTGGTTGAAAAATGGTATGACAAATGAGACTGAAAGTAACTTTTCAAGTTTTGAGCAATTACAGTAAATTATTTTAAAAGTATTAGATGTAAATTTTAAGTGGCTTGAGAACTCGGGTTCTATAGGACTAATTCTTCCATCTTCATACGGGACAAATTGCCAAACGAGTTTGAACAACACTATAACTTCAGAACACTGTCGACTACATCCACGTAAGGCATAATGGGTCACAGCTTTCCCGCAGGATCACGACTCTACAATGCATAACTATTTCTGCAAGGGATTGAACATCTGTTGGAAAAATCACATTAAAAGTTCTCCAAGGATTTGGCAACCACAGCAGCTGGTAGACAACAATAACAACAAACATGTGGCCGAAGAAACAGCGGTTATCTTTCTTAAAACAGAAGGCTCTGTGATCACCCAGGATTAGTTGCTAATGACCAACAGCCTTGGCAAATAAGCCTTAAAGGAAAATGACTCAGGCAAGAGTCACTTTTATGGAATCAGGACAATATGTGGCCAGAGGCTGACTCATATTTGCAAATCTTACATATTTTCAACATATTAATAATTGGACTATCAAGCTGAGAAAGCCGATTTTAAAAGAAACAGCATCGTTAGAATCCAACCCAGCTCCAGTTCCCTTGATTACAACTTTAAAATCTATTGGGACATGGCCACAAATTTCAGGGGAGAATTAACACTGATTTTTATGAGCTGGAATCAGCTTTCTCTTTCCTCTTTGCTGACTTGAAGTCCCAACAGTTCTTCAAATTTGTGTCATCTGAAAACTGAAACTTAGTGCTTTCTTTATAGTAATTTTTTTCACAGAATTTTATTTTCTAAGGAAGTCTGAATGTTTATTGTGGACATACGAAGCTCCCTGAAAGACCTGCTATAAAGCAAAAATGTAATGCTACAACGGTGTTCTTTTAAAGAGCAAATAACTTCATGGGAAAGGCCTGTACTTAATTTCTATTTGTCAATCTTTACAAAACCCCAAAAAGATCTTAATTTTCAAGTTGAAAAAAAACTATGCCACGAAAATATTCATTTATTATTACTGACCAAATACTATCAGGGTAAATAATTGCTCCCTACTGGTAAAGTTAGGCATTTTGTGAAGTATATTAACTCTTACAATCTACAATAGTATCACTTGGCAGAGGCTTATAAATTAACCAACATCCAATCGTTTGAGCTAAAAAAAAAAAAAAAATCTAAAAGGACCTTAAAAAATCAAGTAATAGGCAATTTTGGGGGGAGGGGGGCTAGCAATGGGGTTAAGTGACTTGCCCAGGGTCACACAGCTAGTAAGTGTTACGTTTCTGAGGGCAGATTTGAGCTCAGGTCCTCCTGAATCCAGGGCTGGTGCTCTATCCACTGCGCCACCTAGCTGCCCCAAGACAATTTTTTAAAAAGCAACAAACTTAGCCTCCCTTTCTTATGATTTTTCTTTATTGATTTTTCAGTGGATTTTTATATTTGCACAGAAATATGAATGTAATAAACACATGAATTCTTCTTGTCCAATCCAACAAGCACTTATTAAGTGTCTACTACATACAAATCACTATATTAGTGCTGAGTGAAGGTAGCAATTTAACAATTCTCCAGTTAATCTGAAGTAATCAAAAAAATAATTTAGACTATCAAACGGATTTGTTGGATTGAATTAACTAAATCAGATTACTATACTGACAAAATTAATAATGGAGAAGCATTAATTTAATTTGCATATAGAAAAGCAACAGGATAAACTAGAAAGACTGCAGACAGAGTCAGGAAGAGACCTTGGTTTGAATCCCATGTCTGAGAATTACTTGCTAAGTGAACCTTGGTTTTCTCTAATCTGTGATTCTCTTCATACCTCTGGATACTCCTCAGTTACTTTACTAGATTTTCATCCAGGTAGCTCCCACTAACCATGAGTGCCCCCCCAAGGTTCTCTTCTCTTTCTATACTATTTTACTTGGTCATCTCAACCACTCCCATGGACTCTCTTCTCTTTCTATACTATTTTACTTGGTCATCTCAACCACTCCCATGGATTTAATTATTATCTCTATGCCAAAAGGATGCTCAGATCTATTTAAGTAGCGCTAACCTCCAGTCTCATATCTCCAAATGACTATTGGACATTTCATACTTAATTTCCCATAGTTATCTTAAATTCAACAAATCCAAAACAACTCATTATCCTCCCTAAAGCCTCCCTTCTTTCTAACTTTTCTATTATTCTTGAGGATACTATCACCCTCCTAGTCACCCAGGCTCCTAACCTAGATGTCATTCTCAACATCTTACTCTCTCTCACCACCAACCTCCTATATCTAATCAAAAATCAAATCGTGTCAATTCTGCCTTCAAAACACCTCTTCTATATGCCTGCTGAGCCATGGCCAATGGTCTTGACTTATGTCTCACCACTGAAAGCTGACGACTCTGGAGGAGACAGTGAGACTGATGACTTTGCACAGCTCTGCCTCACTTAAACCCAATTTACTTGCAAATCAAGACATCACCCTCCTGATGTCATTCATCCTCTTTGAGAGCAAAGGACAAAGAACAATGCTGTATATGCCTACTTCTCTTCTCTGACACTGCCACCACCATGGAACAGGCCCAGGCCCTCATCATCTCACACCTGGACTATTGTAATGGCCTACTGGTTGGTCTCCCTGCCTTTCAGCAAGAGGAAGGGTCTCTCTCCATTTCCAGTCCATCTTCCACCTAGCTGTCAATTTGATCTTCCTTTTTTTTTTTGAGGCAATAAGGGTTAAGTGACTTGCCCAGGGTCACACAGCTAGTGTCAAATGTCTAAGGCTGGATTTGAACTCAGGTCCTCCTGACTCCAAGGCCAGAGTTGATCTTCCTAAAGTGAAGGTCTGCCCATGTCACCTCCCTACTCAGTAAACTCCAATGGCTCCCTCTCACCTCCAAGATCAAATATAAAGTCATGTTTGGCTTTTAAAACCTGGTCCCATCATACCCTTCCAATCTTCTTATGACTTGCTCCTTTCCACATACACATACTCAGTGACACCCATCTTTGGACTGGATTTTTTCACTGGCTGCTTCCATGCCTAGAATTCTCTCACTCCTTATCTCTGCCTCCTAGCTTCTTTGGCTTTCTTTAGGTCTTAGATAAAATCTCACCTTCTGAATAAGAAACCTTTTGCTTTAATGGCTTGTGTCTTTCCTCTGAGATTATATCCAGTTTTTCCTGTCTATACCCTGTTTGCACATAATTGTTTGCATGTTGTCTCCTCCAATTAGACTATGAGCTCCCTAATAACAAAGACTATTTTTTTTGGCCTTTCTTTTAATCCTCAGCACCTAGATCAGTGCCTGGCACTAGTGTGCACTTAATAAATTTTTGTCAACTTGACTTGCAGGTAAAATGGGTATCCCCATTTCAGAGGGTTGTTATGAAAAAAATAAGCCAGAGAATAAAGAGTGCTCTGCAAACCTTAAAGTGATACAAAAATGTCAGTTATTGGGCATTATTATCATAGCTTCACCCTGGTTATATGGTAAATAATAAGAGAATGGGTTTAGGCAGGATGGGGAAAAGTGAAAAAGGACCAAAGTAGATTCTCTAGTTAGTGAAAAATATTATTAGCTCTAAAATATTTTTAACAAATCAGCTTTAAAAACAGGTTATAATCATTGCATCAGTATACTATACATGAATCTAAGTCTTACACTCTATATCACATTCCAGTTATGAGTTAACTTATGTCTCAGAGAAAACCCAAACCATTATATTTTTAAAAATCAAAGACTCAGATGAAAAACCTAAGAAAGCAACATACATTAAAAAATAAGCAGCTTATGAATTATGCTAAGGTAGAATTCACTGTACCTGGAATTGCTGTTGATCTCCACCCAGCCAAGTTTCCAAGAAATGTGAAGCAAAAGTCCACCAATTAATGTCTGCCACCTGAAATAACACAGTTATCAACAGAAAGATCACAGTGGATACGATTATTGTCATTAATGTCTATAGTCCCAGAACATTCATGGCCTAACATCAAATGCAAACACATTGAATTATTTTACAGATATGAATTTCCTTCCTTGAAAGAGGTCAATGCCTCTTTCAAGGGAGAAGATGGCCAGGAAGAGAACAGTTTTCTATGTAATTTATAACTTTTAGGCACAACTTAAGCCTTTTAAAAGAGGCTATTGGTGATGCAGCTGATAGAGCGCTGGGTCAGGAGCTCAAATCTGGCCTCAGACACTTATTAGCTGTGTGAGCCTCACTTAACCTCTGCTTGCCTCAGTTTGCTCAACTATAAAATCAGGACAATAACAACATCTATCTCACACGGTTGTTGTGAGGATTAAATAAGATATTATTTGTTGAAAACAAATTGAAACAACAATAACAAAATGTTATTGAAAACACTTAGCACAGTACCTAGGCACTTAATAAATGCTTATTCCCTTCCCCTCCCTCCATTTCATACCTGGAGACTGGCATCACCACACAGGAAACTTTCACGACCATCATTTCTATCACGCACAGGACTAGAAATCCACTACATTTATGGTAACCATTTTTTGTGCTACTAAATATTTGGTACTTAACAACAAAGTTGCCTAAAACCACATTTCCCAAGTGTGGTTTTTTTCCCCCTAGCAGTTTTCTTCTATAGGAGTAGCTGATATACTCCTTTTTTTTCTGACTGCCATGTGGAATAAAAATATTCACATTTTTGGAGTATGTCTATTTTAGAAGAGCTCAATTTTCTCAAGTTTCAAATCAAGTAACTAAGAAAATCTTCAGTATTCTCTATGCCTGTGGCTTTCTACAAGCTAATTTTCAGAAGTAAAAGTAGCCGTGAAAGACTACAAAAGGACAAAAAAGGACACAAGTCGGCATCTGAGCTTTGCCCTTTCTTTACTCCTCCAAACTGGGCTGGTCCAAATAGTTTGAAGCCAGAGCAGATCAAGTTTAGTAAATCACGTTCTGTGCTCTGAAACATTGAACAGAACATCACAACTTTTGGTCGCTGGGCTAAATTCAATCACAGATCATATTTAATGTGGATGTCTCCTGGTAGAACATAAGGGCCTGCAAGTAGGAACTATTTCATCCACTGAAGTAGTAAATGCTTAATAAATATTTGTTGATTCATCAATTGCTAAAGACATCGCTACAATACTGTACTTAGTGGCTAAGGACCTAAGTAATCAGTTGTTTTGTTTTGTTTCTTATTGCCATATGCTCACAGAGTTGTGGATACCTAAAAACTAAATAACTCCCTCATCATAGGGATGTTCCATTCTACATGAGACTCCAGCCCCATAAGATGGTCCTACATCAATGATTCTTTTGCTTCACCACGGCATGAAGTACCCCTAGATTTCTGAAGAAACAAGCATTGGTAGGTCCTACCCAGCTTAGAAAAGTGTTAAATAGGGGTCCAGCCATGCACTGTTTGTCACCTAAGGTCTAGATGAACTAAATTCTGAGAGGGTCTTCATGAAAATATTGGCTACAATAACTTGTGAAGACCACCAATCAAGGACACAGTGACCTATATTGTTAGAGAGATTACTTACAAGATGGAACCATGGATCTTTTGAAATATTGATATATTCACAGTATTAGACTTCTTTTGAAGGATCATTTTTTTCAATTATCCTTGCCCCTTAGTTCTTTTCAATCAATCAATAAACATTTATTAAGCTCCTATTATGTGCCAGGTACTGTCCCAAGCTCTGGAAATATAAAAAGAGGCAAAAGATAGTCCCTGCCCTCAAGGAGCTTACAATCTAATAGGGGAGGCAACATGCAAACAAATAGCTACAAAGCGAGCTATAATATAGGATAAATTGGAAATAATTAAAAGAGGGAAATCATTGGAATTAAGAGGGATTGGAGAAGACTTCAAGAGGTAGGATTTTAATTTGGATTCATAGGAAGTCAAGAAGTCAACAATCAGAACAAAGGAGGGAACACATTCCAGGCATGGTGTGACCCCAAAATTCCAACTCAATGTGCAACAAAAGGTCACTGAGGCACTCTGAGAATTTTCAATGTATTAGAGAAACTGTTCATGCTTAAGAAAGTGGATCCAAGGGGCAGCTAGGTGGCGCAGTGGATAGAGCACTGGCCCTGAAGTCAGGAAGACCTGAGTTCAAATCCAGCCTCAGACCAAATACTTGACATGTACTAGCTGTGTGACCTTGGGCAAGTCACTTAACCCCAACTGCCTTACCAAAAAAAAAAGTGGATCCAACCTACATGTGCAAAAATATAGCAGCCCTTTTCCGTGGTGGCAAAATATTAGAAATTAAGGAGATACCTATCAATTGGGGAATGGCTGAACAATCTGTGGTATATGAATGTAATGGAATACTATTGTGCAATAAGAAATGATAAAAAGGTTTCGGGGGGCAGAGCCAAGATGGTGGCATAAAAGCAGTGACTTGCTTGAGTTCTCCCCCAAACCCCTCCAAATAAAAAATGGCTCTAAACAAATTCTAAAGCAGCAGAACCCATAAAAAGACAAAGTGAAACAAATTTCCAGCCCAATTCAACCTGGATGGTTGATTGGAAAGGTATATCGCGCCGGGTTGGGAGAGGAGTATAGTTCAGTGTGAGCGTGCAGGCCACAGCGAACCTGGAGCAGGCCTCAGAGGACTGAATCACAGGCAACTGTGGTGGTTTCCAGGCTTCTCAATCCATGAATGCCAAAGACAACTTAGAAGGTCAGTGGGAAAAGTCTGTTTCTGCAGTGGTGAAAGAGAAGTGCAGGGTCCCAGCCCCATTCCCTGAGCTTGGCCCTGGGGCAGTGGCTGCCTCCTGAGCTTCCAGCCCACAGACTGAGGGGGAATCGAGTGGCTGATCAGAAAGGGATTGCAGGGATCTCTCTGCTAGTGCAGGATTCTCTTGCTTTGCCCATGCTTGGATCTGGGTTGCGGTTCTGGGTAGTGGTCCTGGGGCGAGAAGGAGCGCTGGCATGGTGGAGCTTGTGGTGGCTGTGGAGAGGAAATCCTCTTCACAGTTCCAAGGCAGAAAAGAGTGCTTGTGGTCACTCATAGACCAGAGCACAGGACAGGAAAGGAGTAAACACCTCACAGCACCTTGGAAGAACTGAAAATTTACAGGTCCCTAGAAGTATCTCTGAAAACAGCTGCACAAAACCCCTGAAGCTTGGGACAATACATTCTCCACACTGGAAACAGACCCCTACCTTAACAAAGAGTTTATAACTCAAGTAATTGGCGGGGATCATGAGCAAACAGTGAAAAAATAGTCAGACTATATTATCTTCTTTGGTGACAAAGAAGATCAGAACATACAACCAGAAGAAGACAATGAAGCCAAAGCTCTTACATCCAAAGCCTCCAAGAAAAATATGAATTGGTCCCAGGTCATGGAAGAGCTCAAAAAGGATTTTGAGAAGCAAGCAAGAAAAGTAGAGGAAAAAGTGAGAGTGATGCTAAAGGAGACCCCAAAAAAATACTGAAGAAAATAACACCTTAAAAAATAGCCTAACCCAAATGGCAAAAGAGGTCCAAAAAGCCAATGAGGAGAAGAATGCCCTAAAAAGCAAAACTGGCCAAATGGAAGAGGAAGTCCAAAAGCTTACTGAAGAAAATACTTCCTTAAAAATTAGAATGGAGGAGGCAGCTAGGTGGTGCAGTGGATAGAGCACTGGCCCTGAAGTCAGGAGGACCTGAGTTCAAATCTGGCCTCAAACCAAACACTTGACACTTACTAGCTGTGTGACCCTGGGCAAGTTACTTAACCCCAATTGCCTAAAAAAAAAAATTAAAATGGAGCAACTGGAAGCTAGTAACTCTATGAGAAATCAAGGCACTGTAAAACTAATCCAAAAGAATGAAAAAATAGAAGAGAATGTGAAACATCTCATTGGAAAAACAACTGACCTAGAAAATAGATCCAGGAGAGAGAACTCAAAAATTATTGGACTATCTGAAAGCCATGATCAAAAAAAGAGCCTAGACATCATCTTTCAAGAAATGATCAAGGAAAACTGCCCTGATATTTTAGAACCAGAGGGCAAAATAGAAATTAAAAGAATCCACCAATCACCTCCTGAAAGAGATCCCCAAAGGAAAACTCCTAGGAATATTGTAGCCAAATTCCAGATTTCCCAGGTCAAGGAGAAAATATTGTAGGCAGCCAGAAAGAAACAATTCAAGTATTGTGGAAACACAATCAGGATAACACAAGATTTAGGAGCTTCTACATTAAGGGACCGGAGGGCATGGAGTATGATATTCCAGAGGGCAAAGGAGATAGGATTACAACCAAGAATCACCGACCCAGCAAAACTGAGTATAATCCTTCAGGGTAAAAAATGGTCGTTCAATGAAAGAGGGGACTTTCAAGCATTCCTGAGGAAAAGATCAGAGCTGAATATAAAATTTGACTTTCAAATACAAGACTCAAGTGAAACATGGAAGAGGTAAACAGGAAAGAGAAATCATAAGAGACTTATTAAGGTTGAACTGTTTACATTCCTGCATGGAAAGATGATATTTGTAACTTATGAGTCCTTTGTCAGTATTAGGGTAGTGGGAGGGAAAAATTATATGTATGGATAGATAGATAGATAGATAGATAGATAGATAGATAGATAGATAGATAGAGGGCACAGGGTGAGTTGAAGATGAAGGGGTGATATCCGGAAAATAAAATTAAGGGGTGAGAGAGCATTATACTGGGAGAAGGAGAAAGGGAGAAGTAGAATGGGTTAAGTTATCTCACATGAAACAGACAAGAAAAGGCTTTTATAGTGGAGGGGAAATGGGAGAAGGTGAGAGGGAATGAGTGAATCTTGTTCTGATAGGACTTGGCTTAAGGAGGGAATAACATACACAATGGGGTATGGAAATCTTTCTTACCCTACAGGAAAATAAGGAGGGAAGGGGACAAGAGAGCAGGGGGTTGATAAAGGGGAGGGCAGATTGGGGAAGGGGATAATCAGAAGCAAACACTTCTGAGGAGGGACAGGGTCAAAAGAGAGAATAGAATAAATGGGGGGTAGGATAGGATGAAGGGAAATATACTTAGTTTTTCACAACAGGACCACTATGGAAGTGTTTTGCATGACTACACATCTATCACCTGTATCAAGATGCTTGCCTTTTCATGGGTGAGGAGGGAGGAAGGAAGAAAATTTGTAACCCAAAGTTGTAAAAACACATGCTAAATATAAAAAAAAAATTAAAATAAAATAAAATAAAATCTACCAAAAAAAAAAGAAAGAAAGAAAGAAGTAAAGAAATGATGAAAAGGCAGATTTCAGAAAAACCTAGAAAGACTTGTACAAAATGATGCAGAGTGAAATGAGCAGAACCAAGAAAACATTATACACAGCATCAGCAACACTGTGTGATGATCCACTATGAGTGACTCAGCTCTTCTCAGCTACACAACGCTCCAGGACAAGTACAAAGGACTCATGAAGGAAAATACTATCCATAAACAGATAAAGAACTGATGGACTCTGAATGAAGATCGAAGCATATTTTTTTCACTTACTTTATTCTTTCTCATGTTTTTTTTTCTTTTGATCTGTTTCTTCTTTCACAACTGTGACTAAAATGGAAATATGTTTTACATGATAGCACATGTATAAACTATATCAAACTGTCTACCATTTTCAGAAGAGAGGAAGGAAAGGAGGGGGAGAGAAAAATTTGGAACTCAAATCTTGTAAAAATGAATGCTAATAATTTTCTTGACATGTAACTGGGGGAAAAAATAAAATACTATGTAAAAAAAGAAAAAGAAACTGGATTCAAAACTTGCCTCTGCAGTCATTGACCCCTTTCTGTCCAATGGCCAGGCATATTTATGGAGAATAAGAGTACTAAAAATACAATGGGGTGGTACAATTCTTCAATTGGCCAATTCCAAAAAAGGGAAAGTTACAGATTGGTCAAGGGGAGAAAGTGGAAACTCCACGTTTGACTACAGGAAATAGCCAAAGGAAGGAACTCCCATATGCTCAAGGGAGATGTCCATCAATCACTATAGTTAAGTCATCAAGCTTTCCACATGTCATCAATCATGAGTGTTTAGTCAATGACTAAGCAATAGGATTCTGAGGCTTTTTACTTGTTTGTTACGACCATCAGGTACAAAAGGATATGGAAGCTGTGGTTTTCCAGAACACAGGGTAGAAAAGAATGGTAGAGTAGAGCAGTAAGTCTCTATCCCTATCCATGACACATGTTAATGCAGGCCTAAATATCAAACTATAAATCTACATAGTATAAATCTATCAGCCATTATCATCAACACATGGATATCATCATCAATATACAGTGGATTAATTAATCCTAATCCTTATCCTAAAATCATTATCAGAACTCACTCAAACTTAATCCTATTCTACTTAATTTACTATTACAATCATTGATACACAATAAGCGACAATGAACTGAGTAGATACTGATCAAATTGAATAGGGGTATCAAAATTATTCTCACAATGGGTTAACAGCCAGGGAAAATGCCCAGAGCCAAGAGGTGAAGTGTCTTGCTCATGGAACAGCCAGGAGGCCAGTATCAGTGGATCCAAGAGTACATGTTAGGGAGTAAGGTGTAAGAAGACTGGAAAGATAGGAGGGGGCTACGTTACAAAGGGCTTTGAATGCCAAACAGAGCATTCTGCATTTGATCCAGGAGGAAAATAGGGCTCACAACTCCAACAAGAGTTTATTGAGTAACAGAGTGACATGATTGGAACTGTACTTTTGGAAAATCACTTCAGTAGGTGAATGGATGATGGATTGGAGTGGGCAGAGACTTCAGGCAGGCAGACCCACAAGCAGGCTATTGCAATAATCCAGGTGTAAGGTGATGAGGGCCTGTACCAGAGTGATGGTGGCAATGTCAGAGAAGAGAAGGGGGTGTATTTGAGAGATGTTACAAAAGTGCAATCTATATGCTTTGGCAACAACTATATCCATACAGGGGATGGGACAGAGGAATCCAGGATGACTCCTAGGTTGTGAGCATGAGAGACTTGGAGGATGATATTACAGCTACAGTAATAGGGAAGGTGGAGGGAGGAGGGAGGATTTAAGGGGAAAGATAGATAATGAATTCTGTTTTGGACATATTGACTTTAAGATGTTTACTAGACAACCAGTTCGAAATGTCTAAAAGGCAATTGGAGATGTGAGACTGGAGTTCAACAGAGAGATTGAGGCAGGAAAGATAGATTTGAGAATCATCAGCATGGAGATGGTAATTAAATCCATGGGAGATTAGAGATCAACAGAGAGATCGAGGCAGGAAAGGTAGATTTAGAAGCTGTGAAGCAAAGCAGCATTGAAGGGGAAGAGAAGAAGGCCCAGGACAGAACCTTGATGGACATCTACAGTTAGAGGGCATTAGGTAAATAAGGATCCAGCAAAGGAGACAGAGGAGGAGTAGTCAGGTAGGTAGGAGGAGAACCAAGAGAAACTGGTGCCCTGAAAACCTAGTGAGAAGAAAGTGTCAAGGAAGAGTTATCAATAGTGTCAAAGGCTGCAGAGAGGTCAAGGAGAATGAAGACGGAGAAAAGGCCATTGCACTCGGCAACTAAGAGATCATTAGTAACTTTGGAGAGAACAGTTTCAGTGGAATGATGAGGTCAGAAACCAGATTGTAAGGGATTAAGAAGGGAGCGAATGTAGAGAAAGTAGAAGCACCTATTGTAGATGGCCTTTTTTGAGGAGTTTAGCTACAAAGTGTAGAAGAGACAGAGGACAATAGTTAGCAGGGATAGAGGGGTCAAATGAGAGTTTTTTCAGGGTAAGGTAGATATGGGCATTGGTAGGCAATAGGGAATGAGAGAGGGAGAGACTGAAAATAAGTGAGAGTGGGGATGACAGAGGAGGCAGCCTGTTGGAGGAGACAGGATGGAATGAGATTGCTTGGACAAGTAAAGGGGTTAGCCTTGGTAAGGAGTAAGGCCACTTCATCATGTAAAATAAGGGTAAAGGAGGAAAAAGTGGGTGAATGCACCTCAATAAGATGAAATGAGGAAGGGAGAAGAGGAAATTCATGGCAAACTGCCTCAATTTTTTTCTATAAACTATGAGGCAAGGGTCTCTGCTGAGAAGGGGGAAGGGGGGAAGCCATGGGAAGTTTGAAGAGGGATGAAAAGGTTGGTTTGGAAGAACTGCTGTGGAAAGGGGGATAGTGGGTTGATAAAGGAGGATTGCTTAGCAGCAGTGACGGCCCAGTTGAGGTTATGTAACATAAATCTGTAGCGGACCCAGTCAGAACAGTTGTGTGATTTTCTCCACTTTCATTCAGTAATACATATGAAGGCATCAAGTGGTAGGAGTGATCCAAGGCTGAGGCTTGGTTGGGAGTAAGACAGTAATATAATAAGGGGGTTAGGCCCTACTCACGGGAGGAGGCCAGTGTAAAGCTGAATTGATTCACCAAGGAGTCAACACGGGCAGAAGAGGAGACAGTGGCTAGTGCAGGGGAGATGGCCTGGGAGAGAATTAAGGGGTCAAGGGATCAGAGGTCGCAGTGCAAATAAAAAGTAGGGTTATGCAAAGGAGGGCAGAGGGAAAGGTGAAAAGCCAATAGATTACAGTCAGATAAGGAGATTTCAAAAGTCTTGAACATGGAGGTGGTACATTTGTGGATTTAGCAAGCCCAAGGATATGATAATCTTTGTGTGAGGCCCAGGTGGAGTGGAGGAGTAGCTCATGGGAGGTGAGTAGGTTGAAGAACTGAGTGATTAGGATGTTTGAGGAAGAATTAATATGTATGTTGAAGTCTCCTAGTATGAGGCTGGAGTTGGGGAGAAAAGAAAAACTGTAAGCCAGGTATCCAATTCATTGAGGAAAAAGGGGGAATGACCTGGGAGTCTGTAGAAAACTGCTACCAGGATACTGATTGGGAGGGAGATGTGAACAGCACGAACCTCAGAGGAAGACAAATTACTGAGTGACAGAGGTAGGGAGAGAACCTGGAAATGGCAGGGGGGAGCAAGGAGTATTCTAACTCTCCCATCGCCACCACTGAGCCAAGGAGAAGCAGTGAAGGTACAAAAGGGTGGCTTACATGGCCAACTTTTTGGCAGGAAACACTAAAAAGCAAATGATTATGACAGAGAGAGAGTCAAAACCTGCTCTGGGATAATAAGTCTTGGACTCAATAGATGTGTTGATTAATTTTACAGAACACCTTTTCTTCTTTCTCTTCTGTTATAAGGGATGGTTTATTGGGTAAGAGAAGAGGAAGAATTATATTCAGAAGGTTATATAAAAGTAAAAAATCTAGTAAAAAATTTTAATAAAAATCAAGTTCATTCTTATAGCTTAGAAGAGTTGTGAGGTCCCCAAACTAGAGAGAGAAAGAAAAAGAGTAATAAGTGAACTAAACTAAATTTAGGAGTGAAGGGGGAAATTATGCAGACTAAATCAGGATTTCCAAAGAATCCCTTTTTTGTTGTTGTTGAGTCATTTCAGTCGTGTCTGACTCTTCGTGTACCCATTTGGGATTTTCTTGGCAGAGAAACTGGAATGGTCTGCCATTTCCTTCTCCAGCTCATTTTACAGATGAGGAAACTGAGGCAAACAGGTTAAGTGACTTGCCCAGGGTCACACAGTTATTAAATGTCTGAGGCCAGATCTGAACTCAGAAAGATTTGTCTTCCTGATTCCAAGACATGTGCTCTGTGTACTGTGGCGCCACCTAGCTGCCATGCATTTCATACAAATGTATTTAAAAGGTACTCACCCTTGGAATAAGGTGGGGTAGGTGAATTTCAAGACAGACAGAACATACTGAAAAACAAAGTTCATAGATGTTATAAATCTCTCATATACCATAAGGAAATCCCTCAACCTGTAATTTCACTGTGATTTCCTCCCTAGTGAAGAAACATCCTCCACTGACAGGCTGGTATTGTCTCTATAACTTACAGCCTTAAGAGAGTCACCTAGAGCACTGAGAGGTGGTTTCCTGACCAAGGTAATCCAGCTACTATGTGTCAGAGGTAGAATCTGAACCCAAGTCTTTATGCCTGTAAGGCCAGCTCTCCATCTACTATGGCATACTGCCTTTTACAACATTTCTGTCCTGTCCTTGAACCATGTACAATGATCACCCAAAGCCCCAAAGTTTCAAATAATCACTCCCCTTAATACAGACATTCAAATGCCCCCAGGAAAAAGCTGAAACAGCTTCATAATGTCTACCTCAGGTCAGTTACCTAATCTCCAGTCAACAAGCAATAATAAATCACATTGATGTCAATCAACAAACATTAAGTTTGTAAACTGCTTAAAAGCAGTTCACAGGAAGATAAAAACCTCCATCAAGGAGGTTCAAAGCAATGAGTCATTGAAAGCTATTACCTAAGCATAACAGTCAACAGAGAGCTAACCGTGGAGTCAAGAAAACCTGGGTTCAAATCCTGCTTCAGACACACATTGGCTAGTGAGCCTGGGCAAGTCATAACCTCAGTGTTGCTGTTTAGTCATTTTTTCCAACTCTTTGTGACCCCATTTTGTGGTTTTCTTGGCAAAAACATTGGAATGGACTGTCATTTCCTTCCCCAGCTCATTTTACAGATGAGGAAACTGAGGCAAACAGGGTTAAGTGACTTGCCCAGGGTCACACAGCTAGTAAGTGTCTGAGGCTGCATTTGAACTCAGATGACTCTTCCTGACTCCAGGCTCATCGCTCTACTGCGCCACCTAGCTGTACACATGTGTGATTCTGCCCCACCCACACCTCTTCAGCTGCCCCAGTTATTTCTACCCTAATGTGGAAGTAAAAAGAGGTCCCTTGAGGACAACCTTCCTTAAGACAAGGACTTCACAATGACTACAACATATGTAAACGGACATAATCATAACTTGACATTTGTAAGGCTTTAAGGTTTGCTTTACATATGTTATTTCATTTGATCCTCCCAACAATCCTGGGAAGTAGGTGCTATTATCATCCCCATTTTAAAGATGAGGAAACTGAAGCAGGCAGAGGTTAAGTGACTTGCCCTGGGTCACACAGCTAATAAGTGTCTGAGGCCACATCTGAACTCTGGTCTTCCTGACTCCAGGTCCATCATCTATCCCCTATGCCCTCTAGCTGCCTCTCAAGAGAGCAAAACAACAACATAACCGTGTAAAAATAAGAACCAAACTTGGCTCAGAAGAGAAAATGAGAAAAATGCAGCTCTCCCTTCTTTGCAGAGGTAAGAGGTTATGGGTAGAACAGAGTATGTTCTGCTACATTCAGTCACGGTGTTGCTTAGCTTTGCTGGACTGCTTTCTTCCCTCCTTTTCATTCGTTGTTACAAGGGACAACTCTTAGGGAAGGGAAGGGGAGGGGTCGAGGATATACCTGGAAATGCAGCTGATGTAAAAACAAAACATATTAATTTTAAAATTTAAAAGATAAATATTTATTCAGTGCCTATTGCTTGCCCAAAAAGACCAGGGGACCTCAGGGTCTGAAAAGCTGAGTTTGACTCCCATTCTGACACCTCTCTACCTTTTTCATCTGTAAAATGAGGATTAATAGCACTTACCATCTACCTCACTTAGTTGTTTAAAGTGCTTTCCAAACGTTAAAGCTATACTCACCATTGTGACTGTGTCAGTAATATAACATGCCTCTAGTCTCTAAAGAAACTGAAATCTACAATTCTTAAAATTTCCCCCTGTAGCAATTCATGTTGCTAAAGAGCATCACTTAAGCTAGAAATCTGCAGTGAGACAGGAGGTTATGTCTGTGTTTCTCAGATAAAAGACAGAGAGGTGATGTACAAGTGGGTGAACTGAAGGAGATAGATGAGACATTAGGATTTCCTTTCTGGTTTGGTACTCATCAGATTCCAGACCTGGGGTTCTTAATCTTTTCTTGTGGTATGGACTCCTTTATCAGTCTGGTGAAGCCAATGGACCTCTTCTTAGAATAATGTTTTTAAAAGTATAAATAAAACACAGAGGATTAGCAAGGAAAACAATTGTGTTGAAATACAGTAATCAAAGACTTTGCCCTTCTCAGCAACGCAAGGATCTAAGACAACTCCAAAAGACTCACAATGGAAAATGTTATTCACATCCAGACAAAGAACTTCGGGGTCTAAATGCAGATGGAAGCATACTATTGGCTCTCCTTTTCTTTTGTTGTTTTGTTTTGTTTATTCTTTCTTGTGGTTCCTCCCATTAGTTCTAATTCTTCTTTACATCATGACTAATGTGAAAATATGTTTAATAGGAATGTATATGTAGGGTCTATATCAGATTGCATGCTGTCTTGGGGAGGGGGGAGGAGAGCATGGAGGAGAAAATTCAAAATTCAAAATCTTACGGAAGTGAATGTTGAAAACTAAAAATAAATTAATTTAATTATAAAAAATATAGTAATCAAAATATTTTTTTAAAACAAGTTCATGGACCCCAGGTGAAGAACCACTGGTCTAGAGAAAGGAGGGCCTGGCTGTTGTCTTGGCCCCAATTCATTACCATAATTTCTCCCCAAGGTTTAGTCATGTATCAGGGGAACCCATGCCTCTGCAAAACCCACACTCTGCAAAAATAGAGTGAGGAGTTGATTCTTTCCCCAGACACACCCAGCCAGTGCCAACTGATTGACCCTTCATTTAATTATGGGCTTTGTGGGTCCTTCTTGGCACAGAGACGCTGTTTTAAAACGGAAACAAAGTACAGAAAGAGCAAACACAGATTCCTACCTCTATGTGTCATAAAGACATTAGGATGGGCCATCTTTCATAGCAAAAAGATGATGCTACTGGTACAAATGAAAATCCTAGATGATGTGATATGAATTTCAGTCACAGCCTAGTGGATTCTCTGCCTAAGTACCCATCATTCTGCATGGTGTCATTGGTTATAAATCCCAAGGAAGTACTTATCACTCTGCGACAAATACATACAGCGTTGTAAGAAAAGGTGCGTGGAAAAAAAAAGAAGAAAAGGTACATGGCAGGAGGAGGGGGAGGACAGCAGACGTATGAGTTCATTCGTCAAATGAAACAGTATTTGTAAAAGTGCTTAGCACAGTGCCTGGCACATAGTAGGAGCCATACAGGGGGCAGCTAGGTGGCACAGTGGATAGAGTGCTGGGTCTGGAGGCAGGAAGACTCATCTTGATGAGTTCAAATCCCACCTCCGACACTTACTAGCTGTGTGACCCTGGGCAAGTCACTTAACTTTGCCTCGGTTCTAGCTCCTCATTTACAAAATGAGCTGGAGAAGGAAATAGCAAAGCACTCCAATATCTTTGCCAAGAAAACCCCAAAAGGGGTCACAAAGAGTATGACACAATGAAAAAAAAAAAAAACCAAGGACTCAACAAACAAAAAGGAATATTTTAACGTGTTTTCTACACCTTCTAAGTCATCGGTGGTGTAGGGAAAGAGGGGACTCCCCCTACAAATGCAGATTTAGAGTCTTAAAACATTCCTTGGGGGGCCACTGAGATATCGACTGACTTGCACATCTGCCCATCAGAGTCAGGGCTTGAACACAAAGCCAGGCTCCTCTCAAAAGGTGCATCATTCTGTTCTAAATGAAAATATGACTAAAACAGCTGCTACATTAGCCAGCTGTGTCAGAGAGTAAAGAGGTGTAATGTCCAGCATAAATAAACAGATAACCAAAGTTCCTATAAATCTTCTGAAAAACTCAGCAGCCTCTTAACTTGTGAGTGTGGAAATGAGAATAAGAGCAATATGGACATACGTGTTTACACACGTATATGCACACGTATTTATATAATGCTAAGTGAAAGCTGAATGTGCCACAAGCAAACATCTGGGAAATTTTCACTTTATAACATGAAAAAGTGAGAATCTACACTACACAAAAAGGGACGGGCTTCTCATTGTCTTAGTGGGGCAGGAAAACTCCTGTAGTCCTTACACTCACCCATAAGGTACATGAAGACAAATTCTCAATTAGTAATCTTTTTAATTTGCTCCTCACAACAACCCTGGGAAGTTACTATTTCCCTTTTACAGTTGAGGAAACTGAGGCAGAGAGAGTTAAGTGACTTGTCCATTGAGTGCATGAGGTCATATTTGAACAAAGATCTTCCTGACTCCAGGCCCAGCACAACACTGTGCCACCCAGATGCCTCTAATAATACCATGTTATGGATTCTGTCCTGTCTCTAGTCCAATTAAGGGTCCAATAGGTGAAACAGTCCATAGGTTGAATAGTTCTAGTTTACAGTTCCAAAGAACCTCTTTCTCTCCTTTAAAAAAAAAAAGTGTTAGGGGCAGCTAGGTGGCACAGTCGATAGATCTCTGGCCTTGGAGTCAGGAGGACCTGAGTTCAAATCCAGTCTCAGACACTTGATACTTACTAGCTGTGTGACCCTAGGCAAGTCACTTAACCCCTGATTGCCTAAGCAAAAAAAAAAAAGTTTCACTAAGGCCTAAACACAAGATCAGGAAAGTGTTTTCTACCCCTTCTATGTTATTGGAAAACATTCCTATTTATGTTTATTATTAATAGTTTTTCTATTTCAATAAGTGACATTTTCTGATTTTTTCTCCAATTCCCTGGGGCAGGGGAGGGGTAACACCTTTGGAAGCCATACTTCATGCCCCACATTTCCCACCTCTTAACATCTTTTAAGTCTAAATTTTTTACACTCTGAACTTCTATGATATATGGTGCTTAGACAGATCATATTCATCTTTAAAAAAAAAATCTTGCTTCCTTGAAACAGTGCCAGCCTATAAAAGTAACAAAGAAATTATTAGTCACGGAGAGATCTTTGACAGTTCAACAGCTTTCAATCCAACTATAGGTACTTGTTTTACATGTTAAAAAAATCATAAGATCTGTGTTCTTTTGCTAATAATGTTTAAGGTGGGGTGTTTAATGTTTAAGAAAGGAGAAAATTGAGGCAGCTAGGTAGTGGAGTGGCTAAAGCTCTGGCCCTGGAGTCAGGAGGACCTGAGTTCAAATCCAGCCTCAGACCAAACACTTAACACTTACTAGCTGTGTGACCCTGGGCAAGTCACTTAACCCCAAATGCCTAAAAAAAAAAGAGAAAAGTGACTACAGAAAACTAGAGAAAAATTGACTAGCAAGGTAAAGCAATCTCCTTTATTTGATATTTTAGACATTTACACTGAATTTGCAACTTTCCATAACTCTTCAACATAACAACCTGAATATATTAAAATATTTTACTAAAAATACTTTTATAACTAGAGAATGAAAGTGATTTGAAAATAGTGCTCTCAGATGAAGAACATGTACAAATCTTTAATATAAGAAATGAAATGTAAGACTATTAAAGAGAAAAGATTTTAGCATTTTTTTTAATAAGGTCTTTTCATTAAGAAAAGACCATTATTCTGTACACAATGGATTTTTTTTTCTTTAACAAAAAAGATTTTAGTTTAACTTATGGGTGGTAAAGAACAGGAAAAGGCTGGAGAAGGTTGCTATTTCTTATGAGTAAAAAATACTTAATTTGATACTGAATAATAACTAGGTTGGAATGTCCATTAGAACTACAGGAAGGAAGGAAATAAACATTTATTAAGCACTTACTACATTTCAGGAAATATCTCATTTGATCCTCACAACAGCCTGGGAAGGTAAGTATCCTGCCATTTAAATTAAAATGCAAATGCTCTTGGAAGAGAAATATATGGCTTTGATTTCCACTAAGGCATAATGTCTGCTAGAAATCTTACCTTAATAGAGGCAGTTAAGGCAGCACAGTTGAGATAGAATGCTAAGCCAGGGGTCAGGAAGACTCAAGTTCAAATCTAGCCTCAAGGACTTACTAACAATTCGACCTTGTATAATAAGTCACTTAACCTGTATCTGCCTCAGTTTCCTCAAATAAATGAGGATAATAATAGCAAGTACAAAATGTATTTTTAACTTTAATCAACACTTATTCCTCTTCCAAATGGAAAGAGAATAAGAGATTCATTATTTCATAGGAAATCCTCTTTTCATATTCTGCAATGAATATGGAAATACTTTTTTTATATTTACATTTAGAATTTTTAAAACGAGCTTAAGGCTTGGAGACAGCAAACCCAGATTTTAATTCCAGCTAAGACTTCCTAGCTGTGAAAATATGCAAAAGCCACTTAACCACTGTAAGCTTTTTTCTTTATCTGTAAAACGGGGACAATGAAACATTAACCTTATCTACCTCATAGGACTGTAGTGAGGAAATGTGAGGTTTTTTGCTCATTCACGAATTCAATAAATATTTATTAAGACACTCCACAGCGCTTGGGACAATTAAAAAAAAGGAACCACCTCCCTAGCTCTCTACTCTACAATGAAACACAGAATCAAATAACTAATGACTTAACCGGAGGTCAGAATTGGGACAGGGGAGGAAGGCTGGGAAGGGGCAGATACAAAGGAGGATCCAAGCTAGAAATCTGAAAAAAGAGGGGAGCAAAGAAATGGGAAAGGGCTCAGCAGACGCCAAGGCAGCCAGGTGTCAGTGTGAAAAGGGTTTTGGATCTGGAGATAGAGGAGCAGAGGTTGAATCTGGACCAAAGGCCTTTGTAACTTAGGCAAATCTCTTAATCCGTTGAGGCACGTGTTTATTCTTTTGTAAAAGAAGAGGATGGCTATATTTGATCCCTTTAGCCTAACTTCAGGCCATGCCAGGTCTAAGTCTTATTAAATAATTTTGCTGAAAGTGAGCAGAACCAGGAGAACACTATACACAGTAACAGCTACATTGTGCAATGACTGACTTCGATAGACTTGGCTCTTCTCAACAATGCAAGGATCTAAGACAACTCCAAAAGACTTACGATGGAAAATGCTATCCACCTGCAGAAAAGACCTGTGGAGGAGTCTGAATGGAAGCATACCATTTGCTTTTTTTTTTCCTTCTGTTTTGTTTTGTTTCTTTTCTTGTGGTTCCTCCTATTGGTTCCTTACAACATGACTAATGTGAAAATGTGTTTAATAGGAATGTATAAGTAAAGCCCATATCAGATTATACACCATCGTGGGGAGGAAGGGGGAGAAAATTTAAAATCCAAGCTAGGTGGCGCAGTAGATTGAGCACCGGCCCTGGATTCAGGAGGACCTGAGTTCAAATGTGACCTCAGACACATAACACTAGCTGTGTGTCCCTGGGCAAGTCACTTAACTCCACTGCCTATCCTTAAGGGAAAAAAAAAAAAAAAGCTTATGGAAGTGAATGTTGAAAACTAAAAATAAATTAATTAATAAAAAAAGAAAAAAACTATTTTGTTGAAGGCAGACTCCTCAGCGAATGCCCACAAGACCACATATTCTTCCCTTTACTGGTCCTAAAACCAACTCTGACCTAAGATCTTCTTGCATCTAGGAAAGATACCCTTGTTTTGATCTGTCGTTTAATAGCTTGTAAAGCCTGTATGGAATAATAATTTCCAAACTTTATCCAACTGCCACCTTATTCTTGCTTCCTGACAAGCCTCAAACTTCCTAACTATGCCATGTGACAATACTTAATTGATTTAAAATGAGAATTCATATTTAAAATTTGATATGATTGTCTAACTTAAAACACCTGGGGAAGGGTTGCCAAAAATGGGTTAGTAATTAGAGATTCAGAGCAGGTCTCATTGCCACAGCAAGGTCTACACAGTAGATTTTCTTCAGTACAGCCCTGAGGGTAGGCAGAGCAAGAATTATCAGAGGAGTTGAAAAAGTCTGTTTAGGAGACAATTCTTAACTTGGGGTTCACGAACTTTTGAAAAAAAAAATTTTGATAACTTACATAGCGCTTACTATGTGGCAGGCACAGCAGCAATGCGGCCCAGTGGATAAAGCGCTGCACCAGGAGTTAGGAAGATCTGAGTTCAAATCCGACTTCAAACACTTCCTAGCTGTGTGTCCCTGGGCAAATCTGTTAACCCTGTTTGCCTCAGTTTCCTTTTCTGTAAATGAACTGGAGAAAGAAATTACAAACTACCACAGTATCTTTGACAAGAAAACCTCAAAAAGGGGTCAGGAAGACTGAGCAACAACGGAGTGTGGCAGGCACCGTGATAATTGCTTTACAAATATCATTTCTTTTGATCCTCAAAACAACCTTAGGAGGTAGGCGCTATGAATAACATATAAATACAGTTGCTTTTCCATTTTATGCATGTAAAAATGTTAAGGTATTTATAGGCTTCACCAAAGTGCTAAAGGGCAGACACACAAAAAAGGGTCGAGTCCCTGTTTTGTTGGGTTTTTTTTAGAGGAATGGGAGTGGAGACAATACATGCTTTTATTACTTCTACGAGATTGCTTTACCAAGAGATATTCAGTGGCATACACAGGTAATGACTTTGAGGAAGAAAAAGATAGGAGCTGGAGAAGACCAAAGTGACCAATCATCAAGTCTGATCTCATTTTACTGCTGAGAAAACTGAGGCAGAAAAGGATTAGTAACTTGGTCAGGGTCTCCACAGATAACAGGTATCACTGGTAGGTATTGAACCTAGATTTTTCCTGGCTCAAAGTCCAGTGCTCTCTTCACCATGATAGGCTGCTCCTGGGGCAGCTTGTAATTAATCTGTTTTTCCACTTTTCCAAAAAGAGAGGACTCTTCATTCTCACCCTTACCCTAACCACTAGGTGTACAGAGGCTAGATTGTAGGACCTGGGAATCTGGAATACCGGAATTTGAATCCTACCTTAGTCACATTAGCTGTGTGACCTTGGCAAGTCATTTAAACCTCTTTCAGCATCAGTTAGACCAAATCTGTAAAATGGGTCTAAGAACAGCAGAATTGTTGTGACACACATAAAGCACTATATAAATGATCTTGATATTCTCTAGGGGTCAATAGACTAGGAACCTTTTCTTTTTTTTTCTTTTGCCAAGTGACCCAAAGTTATGAATCAAACAAAAATTTTTAGGTTCATAGACGCATGATTTTTAGAGGTGGTAGGGGCCTTGGAGGTGACTGAACTGCCCTTCTAACTAAAAATGACAAAACAAAGCAGGAGTTATCTAAGGAGTCCAAGGTCTGCAGCAACAGAAGCAATCCCGGGGTGGCCGCGAGGACCCAAAGGGACCCTGCAAAGTGACATCCCGCGCCCACGACCTCGCCCTTCTCTCTCACCTTGTTCGTGAGGTAGGTGGCCAGGTAGAAGGCACAGAAAGTGAGACCCGGGAACGGTCTCTTTGTATGCATCTGTCAAAGCATCCTCTGCAGCAGATGGGTAAGAGCGCTGGGATCGCTTCCTACGGGGCTCTGCAAAAGCCAGGGCGCTGAAATCTGCAACCCGGAGAAGATGCCACGACAGACACACGTTGCTCAGCCTGGGCTCCAATAAGCAGAAGGGACAGCCCTCCCCGGGCTCTGCCTCCTTAAAGGGGCCATGCCCCCTGTAGAGGTCCTGGGAATGCGCTTACCGGCGCTGGAGCCGCCCTGAAAGAGCTTTGATTTGCTTACCTGGGGAACCCGCAGCCGTCTGGGGCGGGAGAAGGGGAGCAGCTTCTCTGCTCTCCTAGATGAAGGCAAATTAACCCCAGCTGTAGAAAAAGAGCTGGGGCTGGGAAGGGGGAGAGCTAGGTCGACCCTAATTGCCCCCCATCTGAGCATGTAATTTGTATAAATGTCATTAAACCCCTGCAGTTTAATTCAGTTCAACAGGAAACCCCGGTTAGGTGCAAGGTTCTGTGCTAAAGAGATAAAGATGAAAAGTACCCACCCAGTCCCTGCTCCCCTGGGCGGGTCGTTTTCCATCTTGGACGCTAGGTGGCGCCTTAGTGCACAGAGCACCGGGCCTGGAGTCAGGAAAACTCACCATCCTGAGTTCAAATGTGACCTCAGACACTTCCCAGCTGTGTGACCCTGTGCAAATGTTTGCCGCAGTTTCTTCATCTGTCAAATGAGCTGGAGAAGGAAATGGCAAACCACTCCAATATCCTTGGGGTTATGAATAATCAGACACCACTGAACAAAATCCCTGCCTTCAAGAAGTTTATAATCATTTCTGTACTAAAGTAACATGTATGTAACTCAGAGCCCCCAGTCCCCATCCCATCAAGACTTTGAACTCACAGAGACCAAGATGATGCTGGGAGGCCCACGTGGAAGGGGTCATTACCTTTTTTTGATTGTTCCCCTATCCCTAGAGTTAATCAAGGAAAACTCAACTTTAGGTATAATTTACAGCCCGCTGCTGGGTGGTTCAGTGGATAGAGTGCAGGACCTAGAGTCAGAAAGACTTCTGTTCCTCAATTCAAATCCGACCTCACTTACTAGCTGTGTGACCCTGGGAAAGTCACTCAACTCTGTTTATCTCCCTTTCCTCACCTGTAAAATGAGCTAGAGAAGGAAATGGCAAACTACTCTAGTATTTTTGCCAAGAAAAGCCCAAATGGGATCATCAAGAGTGACTGAATAATAACTGAATAATTCACGGCTAGGTTTTCCCAAAGAGGGATAACAGGAACCCCAGGCTATAACAATAATAGCTAACATTTATATAGCACCTACTATGTGCCAGGTACAATACTAAGTGCTTTACATATATTATGTCCTTTGATCTTTACAACAACCCTGGAAGGTAGGTGCTAATGATGGAGTACAGGACCAAGCGAAGACTTTTGCCCCTCACCCCAAAAAGGAATTTGGGTCCCACTTGTCTCCTGGATTCTCCTTGAATTCTCCCACTTGATCAATAAAGTCTCTGGCATTTGCCTGAGGTGATAATCCTATCAACTCGCCTATCATTATATATACTTATATACTTAGCCCCATCTCCCAATTCTCTATTACCCTTAACCTAGCTTAGCCCTCCATTGTCTATTACCTGCTGATGGCCCAGGCCATTTCCCACTCTCGATCCTATCTAAACTCCATTCTACCAGTCACTCCCATCAAGATTCTCCCCTCCTGGATCCCTCTCACAGTCTTTCTGTGTACAAGATTCATCTTACTTTCATTAAGGTGTTCAGATTCCTGGAGAACCTAGCCAAGGGCTTAGATTTTTACAATCTAGCCAATAGCTCACAAATATTCAGATTCCTTAAGAGTCTGGTCAATATGGCAGATCTTTAATAAACCTAGTCTTTGGCTGAAAGAAGGTTTGGGTCTAATTCATTTGGGTAGGACCTACATGTCATGATTTTGGGGTCCCAGCACCCCAAAACCTCTAAACCTCAACGCTATTATAATCCCCATTTTACAGATGAGGGCACTGAGGCAAACAGAGGTTAAATATCTTGCACGCTATCAGTTCCCGTTAGACTGTGAGCTCCTTTGAGAGCAACATTGTGTTGTTTTTTTGTGGATTTGTTGTTGTTGGGATTTTTGTTTATTTTACTTTTATATCCCAGCACTTAGCATAGTACTCAGCACATTTTAGATGCTTAATAAGTGTTTCTGGACTCATTGACTTAAAAAAAAACTGAATTTGGGTTGTCACCAGATTAACCCTTTGACAATCCAGGGAATCTTTCCTTCCCAGAATCCCACAGAATGTCCCTCCCAAGAGATACCAGCAAACAGAGGCATTGGCAGATTTCTTGTAGAAATGCATAGTAGAGACTACTTCGTGCTTGAGAGTTTAGGCATCAGACTCTATAAAAAAAGGAAAGAAATGCTCTTGAACAAAGAATTTCCACCCCAACCAACCTGTTTGGGAAGACTATGAAGATTTCTTTCTTTCCCAGCTCTTGGTTTTGTTCTCTGAGACAGGACTCAAGAACTCTGTGGGCAAGTCTCTCAGGAAGATCTGAGTTTGAGTCCTGCCTCGGATACTTAGTAGTCAGCCTCAGTTTCCTCATCTGAAAAATAGAGATTACAACAACACCCACCTCGGAGGGTTGTTGTGAGGATCAAATGAGATAATATTTGTAAAGTGGTCTATAAATGCTACCTATTATTAAATACTTTAGGTATCATTATCTTCAGTTTAAAGATTAAACTGAGGTCCAAAAAAGGGAAGTTACCTAGGATTGTCCTGACTCCAAGTCCAGCAATCATTCCCACTACCAGCTGCTTCTTCTAGTGCATTTATGATATATACAGAAATAAAGGTAATTTTTGGTACACTGTGAAGGAACCAGGCAAAGTCAAAGTATTACTAGAAATTGAGTAAGGAAAGTCCCTTTTCAAGTGAGGGGGACTTATGTCTCCCTGTAAAATGAGAGGTTTTTACTAGATGAAATATTCTTTACCTGAAATCTATGAACTTTTTAAAAAAATATTTTGATAAAATTTATATTTAAACATTATTGAAATACAATTTCAATTCCTTCATAATTCAATTTGTAATGCAATTGTAATACAATTTAATTCCTTTGTAATCCTATATATTTTATTTTGTGCATTTAAAAATATTATTCTGAGAAGGAACCCAATGGCTTTACCCAACTGACAAAGGGGTCCCTGACACAATGAAGACTAGGAAATTTTGGACTAGATGTTGTCTATGGTGCCTTCTCACCTAGATCCTATGATCCTGTTGGGGGAGGTGGGGAAGGTTAAAAGATGGAAAGGAAGGGAAAGTGAGGGTTATGTCACAAATGAAACAGGGGAAGGAGAATAGCACCTGAAAGGGACTAGAATGAAATAAGACTAGCTATGGGGAGGCATATTGTGAAAGGCCTTGTAATACCAAAGTCAAGACATTTTTTAATGGTGTTTTATCAATATCTTTGGTTTTTATGTCAGCTACATTTCCCAGTGTGTCTTCCTTTGCCCTCCCAGAGAGCAATGTAACAAAAAATTAAAAGGGGACTCACCTGAGCTCTCCCAAATTCCCCTTGTGGAACTTTAAAATAACACGTCAAAATGAATTCTAGAGCTGCAGAACCAGCAAAAGGACAGAGTGAAACAGTTTTCCAGCCCAAGAAAACTTAGAAGGTTGACAGGAAAGGTCTGTCTCACAGAGGTGAGAATGGAGGATAGGCCACAGCCCAGCAAGCCAACAGCAAGCCTTAGAGGCAATTGAATCTACAGAGCTCTCAGCCCACAAACAGTAAGGGAGTCAGACAACTAGTCAGAAGGAGATTACAGGGAACCCTTTGCTGATACTGGGTGCAGGACTCTGTTGCATTACCCATACTTAGTTCCGTGTCACATTTGCAGGACAAGGCAGAGGAGCACTAGCACCCTAGAGCCTGCGGCAATATGGGTACAGGGGCCCCAGTCACAGTTCCCAGGCAGGAAAGAGTACTTGTAGTCGCTTACAGACTGGGAGAGCAGTCACCACACTTCTCCTTAGATCAAACCACCTTGGAAGTACTAAAAACTAACAGACCCCCCAGAAATAGCTCTGAAAAAAAGCAGCCTGAAAAACCTGAAATATGGGACAGTGCCCCCTCCACTGTGGGAACAGAGCCCAACTTTAATATAAAAGTAAGTCAAGAAATAGTCTGCAAAAGTAAGCAAACAATAAAAAAAAAAAAAGAACCAGACCATAGAAAGTCCCCTGGTGACAGGGAAGATTAAAATACAAACTCAGAAAAAGACAACAAAGTCAAACAGTTACATCCAAAGCCTCAAAGAAAAATGTGAATTGGTGTCAGTCCCAAAAAGAATTCCTAGAACAGCACCCAAAACAGAGTTTTAAAAATCAAATAAGAGAGGTAGAAGAAAAATTGGGAAAAGAAATGAGAGTAATGCAAGAAAATCAAGAAAAAAGAGTCAACAGCTTAGTAAAGGAAGCACAAAAAAAAAAACCTTAAGAGAACACCTTAAAAAGCAAAATTGGCCACGTGGGAAAAGATGAACAAAAATTTACTGAAGAGAAGAACTCATTAAAAAGTAGAATTAGCCAAATGAAAAAGGAGGTACAAAAATTCACTGAAGAAAAGAACTCCTTAAAAAGTAGAATTGGCCAAATGGGAAAGGAGGTACAAAAGTTCACTGAAGAAAATCATTCCTAAAAAATTAGAATTGGGCAAATGGAAGCCAATAACTCAATAAGATATCAAGAAACAATAAGGCAAAATCAAAAGAATGAAAAAATAGAAGAAAATGTAAACCATCTCATTGGAAAAACAACTGACCTGAAAAATATGTCCAAGAGATAAAATTTAAGAATTATTGGACTCCCTGAAAGCCATGATCAAAGAAAGGTCTAGACATAATCATTCAAGAAATTATCAAGGAAAACTGCCCTGTTATCTTACAACCAGAAGGTAAAATAGAAATTGAAAGAATCCACTAATCACCTCTTAAAAAAGATCCCAAAATGAAAAATCCCAGGAATATTATAGCCAAATTCCAGAGCTCACAGGTCAAGAAGAAAATATCATAAGCAGCC